CATGTTATGCAATTTATAAGGTTTGGCTTCCGGCTGAAATAGCTGCGCAAGAGACGTGAAGAGAAACGTGATACGGTTCTCAAAGTCAACGTTGCCAGGAGAAGGCAAGGCAAAACAGCCCCCGAAACGCTGTCATTGAAGATGCCGAGAAGGCTCCACGCCGCCGTGGCTTTCAGTCAAGGCTTCCTTCCCAGCGGGTGGTTGAGTCGCACCGCCTCGCAGGGGCTCCTGCACCCGGCTGGAAGCTGAGAGATCTCCCTTGGTTTTTATTTTTGCCCCTTTGAGTAGTGAGAAGTTCTAGGCGCAGCAGCAGCAGCAGGATCCGGGCTCGCTTGCTAAAGGAAGCCAGGACTCAGGAAATAGGATATATAAGGCGTTTCTAGTACGTATTTGGTAGTTTACAAACAGATCATTGCTGGAAGCAAAGAGAACCAATCTAATGAAGTGCTGAGAGCAGTTGAATAAAACTGGGGGAGATCAAGGCTCTAGTTCTCAGGAAGGGGTGAAATTGTCACATAGGCTTGGTCTGTCTCGCTCATAGGGTTGTGGTGGAGTTACAACCGGGAGAAGAAGGAGCAGCAGCTGCTCTCTTGAGCTCATTTGAAAAAGAGGGGATATAAGAGGGTGTGTGTGTGTGTGTGTGTGTCTGTCTGTCTGCCTGTCTGTCTGTGTGTGTCTAGGAGGCACCAACAGGGGCAAAGAAAGAGGTGAGGAGATGTGGCTTAGGTGGGGGTAGCTGGCTTGCCACCCTGCCAGTCCCAAGGGGTGCCAGCTGCTGCCGCCGGTGGTTTGAGCTTCGTTTTGCAGCCGGGCTTGTGAATAATGGACAGAAAACAATGGATCCACACGAAGGGGGGGGGAAATGGGATGGGAGAATACTTCGGGCATTTCCAAAAAAGTTGACATCTGCTTCCCTGTAACTTGCAGGAAAGCTACCTCTGCCTTGCAATGGGAGCGCAGGTGACCGTGCCCTATGGGTGCATCTGATGGTCGTAGTCCAGCAAAGTAACTTTGCCAAGCCCGGCTGCATGTCCAGAGCGATCTGGAGCAGGCAGTCTGCACATGCCAGGTGGCACCCTCGTCCTCCTTCCGCATGCCCCAGAGCTGAGTGCCAGCGCTGAGAAGAGGCTCTGGAACCAGCTCCTTCCCAGGGACCTCCAAGGGCCAGGCCATGTGGCTTTGTGGTCTGTCCAGGGAGGGCCTCTCCTCCTCACCCCACCCCACCCAACTCTGCCCCACCCTCGGATCTCCTGACTCCCAAGAGCCTCCCTGCCTCTTACCTTTTCCAGGGACCGGTGCATTTCCTTGGGGTCCAGCTGAAGGAGATTGCCAAGGAGAGGGAGCGGGGTTGGGCCAGGGGGCAGCCGACCCTTATGCCTTCGGCCCTTCCCATTCAGGTACAAAATCAAGCAGGCCAGGAAGATCAAGGCCAGAAGTGTGGCCCCACTGAGGTCCATGGTGGCAACAGGACTGTGGAGGCCAGTGGGGTCCTCTCTCTCTCTCTCTCTCTCTCTTTCTCTCTCTCTCTTTCTCTCTCCCCCCAGGCAGCTATATAGGGCTGGGTGTCCACACCCACTCTCTCTGCTTTTGCTTTCAGGATCTGGGGTGAGGTTGCCTGCACTGACGAGCCCACAGGAGGCAACCCCCATGGAGGCTGGCACGTAGAGTGACACAAAACCTGTTCAGAAGACGGGAGCACAGGAAAGCTGGAATCCACTCCCACGTCCTGCATGCCCTCCTCGCAACCTTTATTTACATTCCCAGGCTCCACAGCCCCAAGCTTTGCAAAACTGAGCATGGGGGAAGTTGCAATCTGCCAAAAAAATCTAGGATTTGCCAGAGAGCCGTCTGAGGAGGGTCACACAGCCTTGCTTGCTGCCTCTCCCTCTCTCTGTCTTGGGGGATGTGGGAGTGCCGGCTGTCCTTTGTCCTTTCCTCTCTCATGGCTGGCTTCCTAGAATCACGACGTTGCCTGCTTTCTCAGAGGCTTGGAAAGGTGACTGTTTGGGCTATGAACCCTCACAGTAATTTTTCCAAGCTCTGGGCTTTGCACAGGCGGGAGCACGTACAGAGTGCTCTCTATCCTCTGTGACACAACCGCCCTTCCCTTGTGCATCTACCCAAGTCCTTTCTCACAACAACCCTGTCGGGTAGACTCGCAGCCATATCTCCACACTATAGGTGTGGGACCTCTGAGGCCACCCTGTTATTTTTAACATGTCTGCACTGAATTGGATAAAAACAGCTGGCGGATGAGGACCTTCCACCTTTGGCCACCCAAGTGGTCCTAATGGTTAGGGGTTTGGTGACTGCTGGAATTAAGGTTTCTGGACCTGAGTGGCACCTGAATTTCTGCTTTTTCTCAGAAAAATAAAACCCACTAGGCCTGTTTTCCATATGTCAGCTCTCTCGGGTTTCTTAAGATTCCTTTGAAATGTTTATCAAAGCCCATGGGCTGGCTTGAAGAGGTTTTTTCAAGAGACGTCTGTGTTGAAACCCCAGCACATGCTGTACTCTTTCAGCACCAAAGGCAAGGAAGAAAGAAAGAAAGAAAGGCCGGAGACTGGGAGCAGAGGTGAGAGGATCCGGGAGGGTGAAGAAGGATAGGATCTGGACAGTGCCGCCCGTATCGCATTCCTTTTTAGAGGCAGGGCAATCAAATAATCCAAACCTCCCTCCGCCTTGTGTAATCGCAGCTGGCTCCCTCATACTCCCCTGGGCCAAAAGGGCCTAGATAAGAAAAGTTAAGGAAAAACAAAACAAAACAAAACCCAGGTCCCTCTTTAATCATTAAACCCTGAGCATAGCCGAGACCTTGTAAGCACAAGGCGGTGTGGATTTCTGGCTGCTGCAGTTTGCATAGAGAGTGGGCAACTTTGTGCAAGAGTCCCTGGGCACCCCTTCTTGCTGCCCATTTGGTTCTTCCGTGGGGGGGGGAGTGGAAGTAGAGGGCTGCTGCTTCTCCAGGCGTCCTCCCCCCAACCCGAACATTATGCTCTCCCCCTTTGAATGCTTTGCAGATGTTCCATTACACAACTTTCCGAAGGCTGCCAGGATTGGGCCACAGCGTCGGACACTGTTTATATACCGTTGGAAAAGGTTTCTCAGATTGCTTGATAAATGAGCTGCATATTTGCAAATTCGCATGCCAGGGAAGTGTGCCAGCTGCGATGACAGGCAGAATATTGCCTGCGCCAGAGCTAGATTGTAGAGACCAGCAGATCATCTCCCCCAGAGCTGGGATATGGGATGGTGTTTTTTTTTGGGGGGGAGGGGGAATTGGACTGCCAGAATTGCCATCATCAGCCCTTCCAGTGAGCCCCCTTTGGCCATGCAGAGGACTCCCCTGTGTCCCTAGTGAGTAAAAGGAGGGCAGGCCTGGAGGTCAGAACACGACAACTCTGGTCATTAACAGTGTTTGTTGCATTTATGAAGAGTCTTCATTGAATGTATGTGTGGTGGTCTATTTGTGTGTCTCTCTGTGTGTGTGGCTTCACCCCACATCCTGCGCTTGGCCATTTCATTAGCCAGTGGAGTGGTGAGTGACGCTGTTCCATTGCAAGGGCAAGGATTAAAAGTCAAGGCAAGCAGAGAAAGGGCATGGCCACCTGAACCAATCATCCAGTCAGGGAGATCTCGGCCAGATCGGGTTGTGAAGATAAAGGGTCTCTTTCTCTGATGTAGAGAATCCCTGCATTTGTGTGGGTGTGCACATACGCACACATGCATGTGTGTTTGGAGTCATCCATCCAAGATGGTAAAGGGAACCGCAAGGAGGTGTTTCTTGAATTTTTTAAAAAATTGCAAATAGGTGCTGCTTTAAGCTGAAACCAGTCCTGCTCAAGGGACACACCCTGGTCTGTTCATTAATTCTTTTTTTTTTCTTTTGTTAACAGATGATTCCACCTTGGCCAATTATTCTGCTCAAGAGTGAAGTGAGTGTGTCTTGTGACCCCTTTTTCCTTCTCTTGCTGATTTCGCCAAAGATGGTAGAAATGTGGTCTTTCAGAGACACTTTAGAAAATGTCTTTCCATCCAGCAATCCCAGCTGTAGGGCTCCCCTTTCAGCGTTGACTCCCGGGGAGCAGGGACCTTGGGCTCTTCCTCTGTGCTGAGTGGCTGGGGTAGGGCCATCTTTTGTCCCTCGTGGAGCAAGAGGTCAGACCCCGTCCACACCATCTGTAACGAAGGCACCGGTGGATAAACCCAAAGAGTTCAGGGGATGGGGTGGCTTGCCCGTGTTCTTCTGATTCACCTAAGGGGATGTTGAGCGCATTTGCCTTCGTCGCCTGCATGGGTACACCTCGGGGGGGGGGGAGTATTCCCTGAGTGGTCAGGAATTGCGAGACCTGGATTCGAATCCTTGCTCAGCAATGAAACTCACTGGAGGACCAAGACCAGTCAATATCACCCTTAACCTGGTCACCTCCTAGGGCTGTTGTTGAAAAGATAGCACGGAAGGGGGAGAAGATGCACGGAGGCCTTGAACCTCAGAGCAAAGATAAGATATGCATGTAAGAAATAGACAAATAGGTAAGCGGATGAATAAAAAGAGGGGAGGGAGGTCGGAAAAGGCTGACCAGGATGAGCAGAGGGTTGGGATTCCTGCTTTATGGATCTGCTGCTACACATCAAGGATTTCAAGGAACCGAGCGAGGGGCTGCACTTCTCTTGAGCAGAGAGGGAGAGATTCTGGCGCACAGCCTCTGCCTCCACCTGCAGCTTCCCGAGGGGGCCCGTGGGCGATTGCGCCTCTCCAGTCCAGCAAGAAGGCACTCCCAAAGGGAAGCCCACGAGCAAGACAGGAGGCCAGCAGCCGCTTCTCAATCTTTTTCTCCAGCAACTGCGATTCCACTGTGCTGTGTCTCTGGTGAGCGCTGGGTCCTCCATTAGCTTGTTGGGACACTTTTAAACCCACTTGAGGAGGTTCTGTTTGTTTCATGTCATGTTTGATGCCGGCCCAGCCACATGTGCACCTCCTATTTTGCACGACCTGTATCCTGACACTAATAGAGATGCTCGCTCCAAATCCTGTTTTCCCAGTACAGTCCCTACGGTAGTCGCACACATAGTTGGACCGAGTCGTGCGCTGACCTATTTGAAGGGGTCTTTGAACAGCGCTTCCCGTGAACTGATTGAATCATCCACAATTCCGTCTTCCTGGAAAAGCAAAGACTTGGCAACAGTGTAATTCTGTATAGGCAGAGACAGGGAAGAATGTGTTCGCCTGAGTAGCTTCCATGAGGACAACAGAAAGGGGGGTGAGGCCTTTTGTTTTTCTTATTCTATCCAGCACACGGAAAGGCTGAAAAGGGAAGAGATGGTGAAAATGCTCTCAGAGAACATAGCCCGTCATTCTTCGGGAGTTTGGCAACGATGACCATGGGAGAATTGCTCCATACGGGGAAAATTTTTTTGCTATCTCCCTCTCTGTGTTTATGTAGAAGAATCTGCTCCGTGTGCAATATGCATTGCAGCTGGCTGATGCAAGGAGCAACTTCACGGTGCCCCTAAATTTTCCCCTCCCGTGTGCCAGGCTCTTGTCCTGCTTCCTTGCCAGAGATTGCGTTTACAACAGGGAGGAGTGGAGACATCTCTACCGGTTCACTCTCAGCACCATGAGAAACTTTGGGATGGGCACGATCCATTGAGGAGGAGGCCCAGTGTCCGAGTGGCAAATGCTGTTGTTTCCTTCACAGACTCCTACTGCAACAATGAAACAATTTATACCTTGATACCCAAATGAACATCCACTAGATTCACCCACACGGTTATCTGGTGTATACTTGAATTAACCCTTCTGGAGATAAAGCTGATACTTTCCTACCCCCATAGAAAAACCAGTCAGAGGGCATTTTGTGCAAAGTAGCACCAGCATAAGGCTCACCTGACCCTGTTCACACATCCCTCCTCTGAAACTAGGTCTCCTCTGGGTTATAAGAGGAGCCACCGCCTTTTCCAGAGACACATTTGAAAGATCATGTTTTGGTGAAAAGCTAAAAGAAACTGAGAAAGAGGAAGGAGGAGGAGCAGAAAATAAAATGCAAGATCCAGAATTAATTTGGTTCCATCTTGGGGTGAAGGGTTGAAGAGGATCCTGCAAGTGGAAAGGTCGAAATACAACTCCCATCATCCCCACTTTGTACAGCTGTTGGTGCTGATTAGCCATGCTGGCTGAGGATGTTTGGGTGCTGGAGTTTGTAGTATAGCTGGAACTTCAGAAAATTACTTTTCCAAATTGCAGCTCAGAAATGAATTCTCATCAGTGTGGACATGATGGCTGTGAGATTTTGGGATCAGCCATCCAAAACAACTGAAGGTCAACTTTTCCAGCCTCTGAGTCCAACTCATTTGAAGAGTGTTGAGATGGAGGCCAGCTGCGGTGGACCTTTGGATCACTTCAGTCCAAAGTCCCCCCCTCCGGTTAACTATTGCCCCAGCCACCATGCAACCCCCACCCCACCACCATGGGTAGTTAATGAGTTCTTTCTGGCCTCTCACTAGCTGATCTGCTCACAAGATGGGATGCCAAGTGGTTACACAAGAGGGGAACTATAAACCACTGGGAAGCAGATGCAACACTTGGCTGTCCACACACCTGGATACCTTTGTTTATTCAGCTGCAACATCCCCTTGATCTGAATCCATGGCTTTTCCATGGGCTTCGTTTCTCCTTGCAACCAAATAAGGTCATTCGCCCTGCAGGTCCTACAAACTGGTCAAACTGGGATTTTTCCAAATTTGCCACACATACATCCTTCCATGTGGAGGACGGACTTCCCCAGGCCCACCAGGAATTGCTGCAGGAAAGGAATGGGAGGACCTGTGGATGGAAATGATCCACTATTGCCAAATTCTAGCCTGTCTTCAAGAACAGATTTATGGAAACAAAGAATGCCTGAATGATTATGTTTCCAATCATTTGGTCTCTGTCTTTCTCTCTCTCTGCCAATGTGTGTTTTTTAAATTATTTTTATTATATAACACACACAAAAACAACAATCAAAAGGATACAAATACAGGGACAGAAAAGGGGGTAATACAAACCAAAACATAAGCACAGGGAAGTATTTGCATTCATACAATATCTAATCTACTCTTGACTCCATGACTGTAACTAGAATCCATAACCTACCTATATAATATTCTCTACTTATATCTGTTCCTGGGCCCAATCATAAAACATTTTCTAGCTTTCTGTAACATATGTTCTCGGGTTTTCACATAATGTCTCTGACAGTCTTTCCATTTCTGCAATATCTAATAATTTTTAATAGCTCCTTTTTCTTCTGATTTTTCTGATTTTTCCACTTTCGGGCCCAGATCAACTTTGCAGCGGTAAATATGTGCAGCAACATATACTGTATTTATTTATTTTTTTTAATCAACAATTTCTGGCAATATGGTCAGCAAAAACATTTCTGATTTAAAAGCTATTTCTTGTTGTATGATTTCTTGTGTAATATATTTTATCTGTCTCCAAAAGCTTTTAGCTTTATCGCATGTCCACCACATATGAAGAAAAGTTCCAGGTTGCTGAGAACTCTTCCAACATGAGTTGCTAGCCTCCAGCGCCGTTTTGGCCAGTTTTACAGATGTAAAATGCCATCTATAAAGCATCTTTAAAACATTCTCTCTCAAGTTTACTGGTTTAATCCATCTATAGTTGACCAATGTCTTTTACTGTGGCTTTAAGTCGGTCAGAAAGTCAGCCAACTTCCCTGCGTGAAATGATAAGAGCCATCAGTTCTGACAAGGTGGTTTCATCTCTTGGAATATATATATTTTTAGACACTTTGCAAAGTCTGTGAGGATCACTGCTGGTCTATACAGACATGGCATGGTTCAAAATCAAACATACCTGCTTACGCCTAGGGTTTGATTCCTGGCCACGGCATCTGAGAGAAGGTTGGGAGTGGGTGGTTGGGGGAGCTCATCCAGAGAAAGGGGCAGAGGAGAGAGACGAGGGAAATGGCATTCTTAGCTTGCATTCTGAAGTGGGAACACTCCACAATGTGCCTCTCACCAAACAGGAGGACAGGAGGATCAGGATCGCCGTGGGACCATGGACAGCTCATATTTTCTAGGAACCCTGCTGAGGCCACTCACGGAAGGCGCGAGGCTGAGCTCGCTGGGAGGCACCGGAGACACGAGAGTGAATCTCTGCAGGATGGTGGTGAAGAAGAGGAACAGTTCCATGCGCGCCAGCCCTTCGCCCAAGCACACCCGCTTGCCTGTCAGAGAGAAGGCCCCCCCACCGTTAGTGCCAGGAGGAAACCAGAGAGGTGGGTGGAGGGAGGGAGGGAAGGACAGGCGGATGGACAGGATCCATGGCCTCCAGAAATGTCCTTTCCATCTCGTCTGTTTGATAATTTCCTTTTCTTCCATTTTGGGTCTAGGTTAGTGTCAGAAAGAGGACAGTGAGTTCTAGCTGATGGGACACGGACAAGAAGGGCTGGGGCTTATTTGGGAGCAAAGCCCAGGGAGAGGGCAGAAGGCAGGGGGAATGGCTGGAAAAAAAATTGCCGTTGCCCAATGGCCAGGGAAGGAAGCCCAGCTTGCTTGTGGGTCTCTGGCGGCTGCTGGGTTTACAACAGCACCCACCCCACGCCATCCTCCAAAACCTACCTGCTGAGAAAGGCATAAAAGCATCCACTTTCTTTGAGCAACCATTGCTGTCCAGGAACCTCCCAGGGTCAAACTCCTCCAGATTGGGATGATGTTTTGGGTCACGGTGCACCGTGGTGAGCAAAGTGTAGACGTAGGTCCCCTGGGAGAGTATTGCAAGATGGGGGGCATTGGTTGGTGATGATGGGCACGAGCAGAGGCTGGTGAGTGGGGGATCCAGCCAGGGAGGTGGGGGAAGGAAGCGCGCGCTACCTGTGGTGCCATGTATATGAACCAGCACGAACCTCCGAGCCGAGGTTTTCCCCCTTTCTCTACTCCTCCTGAGCATCCAGCTTGGCTCACCTTGGGGATGACGTACCCCCTGAAGTGGGTGTCTTGTGTCACAGCATGGGGTAAGCTCATGGGGAGAACGTCACCGAACCTCTGGATCTCGTGCAGGACGGCCTCCGTGTATGGCATTTTGTTCCTGTCCTCAACGGCTGGGATCCGCTCTTCTCCGATGACGCGATCGATTTCCTCCTGGACTTTTACTTGGGGAAGGAAAGACAGGGGCGGACATTCCTCTCAACACCGAGACTGACGTCCCAGTTTGCTTTTCTCCTGACACCTTTCCACCAGAGTTGAGGGCTTTACTACAAATGTGTGAGGAGCGTTTTTTAAAAAAACATGCATCTCACTTTTGGAGTCATGGGGAAGATTCTTTCCTTTGGCCGTTTTGCTTTGAGAATCCCAAGCAGCCACTGTGGTCAGGGTGTGTGTGTGCGTAAGAGGTTCCTTCTACTTCCCTTACCTTGTACCTCTGGATGCTTCAGCATCAAGAGGAAACCATATCTCAAGGTGGTGCTGATGGTCTCTGTCCCAGCGAAGAAGAGGTTGAAGGTGGACATGACCAGATTCTCCATGTAAAACTCAGTATCTGGATTGTTCTTTTCCTGCCAAGAAGGAAAGGCAAAGGTAAAAACCCCAGACTTCCCCCCGATTTCCCACGGGTGGTCAGTGAGTCCAAGATCAAGCCCTTACCTGCTCCATCTTAACGAGGAAGCAATCGATGTAGTTCTGGGGGGACGAAGGGTCCAAGGCCTCCTGGCGCATCTTGATCTGCTCCACAATGAAGTCAATAATCTTCTGGGAACATTCACTGCTCATGTGGTGTGCTCCAGGGATCTTTTCCATGACCCCAGGGAACATGTTATACAGCTGTGTGTTTGCAGAGAGAAAGAAATGGAGTTCTGTGAGAATGCAACACTTTTGCTTTATCACGGATATCCACAAAGTCTCCACAGAGCCGCCCAGAGTGGTAGAATATAACAGATGGGCGGGATATAAATTGAACAAACAAACAAACAAACAAACAAACAAACAAACAAACAAACAAACAAACAAACAAACAAACAAACAAACAAACAAATAAATAAATAAATAAATAAATAAATAAGAGTGGGTGCTGAGACTTCCCCTGTCTGGGAATCATGAGGTGTCCCCTCCTAATCAGGTGTATATGGCACACATTCACTGGCCATCTGGACGCCAGGTGATGAAGGCTGGACATACATTTTAGGGCTGCCCATTAATTATCCTTCTTGAGCACTAGCCCAATGTCTATGAATTACCCTTCTTGAGCACTAGCCCAATGTCTATGGACTGATGATTTGTAATTTATGATTTGCCCCTCTCAGGAATCCCGTTCAGTTCCTAAGGAGGTAGCCCTGTTGTTCTCCTGCAGCAGCAGAAGTGGGGAAAAGCAAAACAAGGCAAATCTAAAACCAAATGTATGCTAGCAAGTGCTTGGATCAGGTGATGTCACTCGGATAGACCTCAATCTCTCTCCCCCCCCTTCCCGGTGCTGCTTCCTTAGGCTTTGAACCAACACGGCCCATGGTTAGGTTAAGAGCACCTGGAGGCTTAAAGCCTGGAAAGGCAGGGAGGGTGGGGGCTCTTTCCATGCGCACAAAAGGCATCGAGGCCACACTCACCGCAGACTGGGGTGAACTGGCAACCTGGAACCGCTTGGTTATCAGCTTATTCAGCTTCAGGAATCTCTCATCATCATACTCAAACCGATGCCCAAACGTGAGAGAGCAGATGACGTTGGAGACCGCACGACTGAGGATGAAGACGGGATCGAAGGGCATGCCTAAATGAAGAGAGGGTGACAAAGCCACTTTACCATTTTATCAGGGGTTGAATCGACTGTGAAATTAATGAAGCTTAAATTTCAGGGCCCCTAATCCTGCAGGGGCCCCAGAAGCGACTTTCCTCCACATTTTTTTTAAATTCAATGATCTGTCATGCAAGAGCCCCATTGAAGAAGTGAAGAGTGGCTATCCAGACCTCATTGCCGGTTGCGAAGGGGGCCCCCATAACAGTTCAAGCGCCAGGGCTCCCAAAATGTAGGCCTGCCCCTGCATTTTATTGTTCTTTAATCGATGATAGATATTCTTAACATTGCAGAGCTGGAAGGGAGACCCTGTGGATCGTCTAGTCTCTGTCAAGGAGGCACAAGTGGCGGGATTTGAACTCTCAATCTCTGGCTCTACCACTGAGCCATCTGGCCGTCCTAGAAATGTTCTTGCACCCTATAGGTCATTAAGGGAATTGACAAAAACTGTGCTGTTTTTTGTTTGTTTGTTTTATGTTTCATGTTGATAAATCCTTTAGCAAGGAGAAACGCACCTCCACATTTATCAGAGCATTTTCACTGTCCACTCATAGGAAGGTTCATGGCCTCTACGTGTAGCACTGAGCCATCTGGCCGTCCTAGAAATGTTCTTGCACCCTATAGGTCATTAAGGGAATTGACAAAAACTGTGCTGTTTTTTGTTTGTTTGTTTTATGTTTCATGTTGATAAATCCTTTAGCAAGGAGAAACGCACCTCCACATTTATCAGAGCATTTTCACTGTCCACTCATAGGAAGGTTCATGGCCTCTACGTGTAGATGTTAGGATACCCTACTGTTACCCTCCTGATGTAATTTTGGTCCCAATCCTGTTGCTTAGCATAGTGAACTGCACTCCGGTAGGTCCACTGAACCATCTCATCTTTCCCGTAGTGAGCAGGGGGTTGGACTGGATGGCCTTAGAGGCCCCTTCCAACTCCATGATTCTAGGATTCCATGAATAGGGACTTTGTGCACCAACTCCTCCATAGGTTGCATTGATTCAAATGGGCCTACTCTAACTGTGATTCACTTTAGTGTATTGGGCAGAAAAAAACAAAAGCTTTTTGGCTCCTTAAAGCCTAATTGCTATATTTCAGTGTGAGCTTCTGTGGATCAGGTCCACTTCCATGGACATAGTAAGAAGGCCATTTTGAGTCAATTAGAGTTGACTCGCTAGATGCCTATTGATTCAATGGGCCTACCCTAGTGTGATTCACGATGCTAAGCAACGGGATTTAGGCCATTATTTTTCTTTGTGGTTTTGGAATAAAAATAGCCATTTTAAGAAAAAGGCACCTGCAGTAGCATAAGAACAGAGATTGGGAATTTAGCCAATGTTGAGTTTGGTTTTGCAAAAATGTTTTGTAGGGAGTGGAAGAAGTTGGAACAATGTGTACTGTTTGTTTTATGTAGCTCCTCTGCCAGGCACTGGGCCTCCTCCTGGATGCGCTCCTCGATGGATCGTTTGCCCATGCCAAAGTTTCTCAAGGTGCTGAGACTGAACCGGCGAAGCTGTTTCCATCGGTGCCCGTTGGCAAACACGATCCCTAGCAGAAAGAGAGAAAAAAACAATGGCATGGTTCAGAGGGAAATATGAATGAAGTCTGCAGAGTTGTAATCGCTGAGATTCAACAAATAATTAGCCACGAGGCAGTCCCTCCGAAAAGAGGGGGACTCCGATCCCAGCTCAAGCACCAAAGTTTTTATTTGGGTGATCAGACAAAGTTAAATATTGCTGCTAATGCAGAAGCATCAAATCATTTCAGAAAAAATGAATGTTGATGCTTCGGAAATATTCAGGAAGAATGTAAAAAAATCTCACACCTTGTTGAAGTATTTGTCAGTTGATTCTTTAAGTCATTCCCTTAAGACAGACACATAGGTACGTACGTATAGAAGTATTTGATATGGCCAGTAGGTAATTAGCTCCTTAAGAAATGTCACAATGGCTCTTCTAAATTAAAGCTGTTGGTGTTCAGTGATTAAACGAAGCCGTTTTAAAATTGCTAATGAATAAGGTAATGAATGTGGAGAAACATATTTACTTTAATTGAGATCTTATCTTTAATCGGCGCCAGATGAAAGATAAGAATTTAGATCAGCTCTCGTGCAGGAAGCAATGTTATTTGCCCTGCAGTTTCTATCTGCATATGTGAATTGTTTTGGGAGACACCAGCATCAGCCATCATGGATGACGGAAAGGAGCAGGGTGCCTTCTCAAAAGAGTCCCAAGCTGCTCCATAGTACTAAACAGATTTAATGCACATGTTGTGGAAACCTCTTTCTCCTCTCTATCCAGAGCACAGTTCTTCTCCCAAAACCCCTGGGAGCTGAAGGCCGTTTGTTAAGAGGGTGCAGGGCTTCTGAGCTGTCTTGATGGGGTGTACAATTTCTGTGCAAGCCAACCATGGACAGGATTTGAGTGGTGTTGGACAGAAACCTTGGGGCAGCCCATCCTCCTCCCATCTCACAAGAGCTCAGCCGCTCGCCAAGGATGTCGTCCTCACCGTGCTCATTGAAATCCTTCGAGAAAGCTGGCAGCTGCCCGCGGCCACTGAACTCTTCAGCATGGTCCACCAGGGCCTCTTTCATCACCTCGTAGCCACACAGGACCACGATCCGCTGCAGTCCCAGGTACACGGTGAACACGGGGCCATACACCTCACTCAGCTGTCGAGAGAAAGCCCCGTCTTTCGTGGGTGGTGTCCCTGTGTCCCACAGGTAGCCATTCCCTCCTCCCAAGGGGCCATTGGGAGGGGGAGGGAGAAGGGCCAAGCAGATGCCAGAAGCAGAATTTCCCAACAAAAGGACCTCCGTACTTTTGGCTTCTATCCATTTGTGTGGATTGCCAGAGTTAGTTACGAGTGTGGTTATATATAGACACACAGGAACATGTATGTGTTTGTGTGTAAGTGGGTGGGGACAATGAGGAGGAAAGAGCATTGAGGAGTATGGAGGAGAAGGAAGAGGTCTATTTCTCCTAACGCAAGATGTCCGCAATCCACAGGTTCCAGATGAGTGTGCCTTTCTTTTGTGGTTGGCTGTTGAGAGGCAAATATGGACTTCATTTGCTTCTCTCATTGTTCAGGCACAGAGCTTTGAAGGAATTGCCTGTCTGGAGGGGAAATGATGTAATGGCAAGAGACATGTATCTTCCTGAATATGTGGGTTGATCCTCCCTTCTTCTTCTTCTTCCTCCTCCTCCTCCTCCCTTGTCACTGAGGAGGATCTGCCTAAGTCTGCCTCAAAGGAGTCTCTGAACCACAAAGAATAATAATAATAAAAAGTCTGGAGAGCCATCTGGACTCACCTTTGTCAGGGACTTCATCATATCCTTTCTGTCCAGCTGGAAATAGTTCCCCAGGATGGGGAGTGGGGTGGGCCCGGGGGGCAGAGGTCCTTGGCCCCCTTTGCCCCTCCATGCCAAGGCCAGGAGGGCACAGCAGACTCCGAGGAGTAGCCCAAAGGAGAGGGAAACCAGCTCCATCGGGCGCGCTCTTGGCCAGCCTCCTCCACCAGAGATCCCTTGAAGCTTCTGGGGAGGGCGAGAGAGCTCAGACCACTTTATTGGAGGGAGGGGGTAGATGGGCAGTTCATCCACATTCCAGGTGGGGTTTCTGGGAGCTTCCCCTTTAGCATGCTAATTGTTGATTCTTTCATTGGCCAACCAAACAAGAGGACCTCACGGACAAACACGTTCTTGAGGGAAAAGGTGATAGTCTATCTAGCTTAAGTTATATTATAACCACCTGGAGGCTATTTCCCATAATAAAAGTAACCTTTATGCAACTTTGCCAAATGTTGTCAAGGAAAAAAAAGAGAAAGAGGCACCTCCTCCTTTAAAACAAATTGTAGGTCTGCCATGTTCTTCCAAGTTGGAAAACTCCACCCCTGCCCCCATCAGCTTCTGAGTCAGTTCATTGAAAAGGAGAACACATTGGGGAGGGGGTGGCTATAAGAAAATGTTGAAGCCCCTAAGATATCTCCCAAATTATCGCTCACCCAAGTTGCTGCACTACACTCTAACCATTGGTTCTGCTGGCTGAAGCTGATGGGAGCCACCATTGTTTGAGATGTGAGCAGGACGGGCATTGTTTATCCCTCCCTAAAGGAGGTGGGAGGTCCTCTCTGCGGTGGTTTGGAAGAGTGGAGAAGGTGCGCTTCCTCCTTTCCTTCGTCCTGAACCAAGAGCTAAGGAATGGTCCTTTTTTGGACCACCATTCCCCGAATCCCCTAGCTGGCCACGTCTCCGGAAAGCCAAGGATGGAGTCTTGACGGCCTCAAGGCTTGGGTTCCCCAAAGACACTCACTCTGTCAGCCGCTTCCCTTTCTTTGAGATCTGACGGCCAAAACCTATGGCCAGGAGAGGGACCACGGTGGTGCCACAGACGTGGAGCCCTTGTGATGTCACAGGACGGGGGGGTGGGGTGGCGGTTGTGGGACAACTGCAACATGATCTTTGTAGGGCTCCCCACTGTCTTGCACAGGTACGTAGATGTCACAAACCCCAGGTATTCGTTTTGCAACCTTCTGCTTTATTCTACCTTCCATTTTATTTTCATAGAAAATGGTGACACTCACCATCAGAAAGAAAGTCATAACAGTCGCAGTTGCCTGCTTCAGGAAGCACATTTCAGAGGTCGTGTTTTGGAGACAGTGAAAGAGAAGGAAAATTAGAGAGAGAGAGAGAAATGAAGGAAGGAAGGAAGGAAGGAAGGAAGGAAGGAAGGAAGGAACGAAGGAAGGAAGGA